TGACATTTTCAATTTTCAAAGCAATAATTATTTCTACACAAAGAGCAGTGACAACTCCAATCAACAGAGCTCACGTTGTTCCATCCACACATTTACTGTAGTTTCACACTCCCTCATATATGTGGCCTCAGTTAAGACGTTTATTGGCATTTATTGTTCTCTTTTCAGACATAAATACATCTGTCAGAGTGAAAAATGTGTAAAGCAGATTGACTTAAAATGATTTGAACTCAGAAAAAGCTAATCTCGATGTAATTTAAAGGTCATATATTACACTATTTTCTGATCTATGTTTATTATTCTCATCACAAACATGTTGTGTTTTGCTTCATCCACACTTGTTTTAACATACAAATCTTGCATATTTAGGCTGTGTTCTTCTTTTAAACAGAAAACACTATTTTCCACCTTGTGCTGTCATGTACTTGTACATACAGGAAGTGCTCCAGTGTGTTTTTAAACTTTATACACCTTCACTAGAATCATTTGGATGATTTCAGCCCTGGAATTGCTGATCTCTACTGAACTAAAGGCAATGTTCTGATGAGGTAACAACATTAAAGCTACAACATTAAACATTAAAGCTCACAAGAGTCAATTTTGTGTAATATAGGACCTTTAAATAGTTCTGACTACTACATTTAAAAGCTGATGTGTTAACCTTTAGCATATAGTTTGTCTGTTATAAAAGAGTAATGTATTGGAACAAATCAGAAAATAGATGCATCAGTGAAATGTGTATAATCTTTATTCTTATTTATTTATATATGCTTGCTCGCTTATCTCAATCCGAACATTTTCATATAATACATTTTCTATCCAATCGTTAGGGTTACTAGTCTAATTTAGACCAGGAAATGTTCTGTGTTGTTTATATCTTGTGTTTCTTGGAAAGACAAATAAATAAAGTAAAAAGGTGGTAATTGGAACCACAACTGCTGGTGTTGCCAATCCAAGTCAAATGGCAATGTAGCCTATTTAAAAACCCTATACAAAATAACAAGTTTACTGTACTTTCAATAAAAAATACATGAAATAGTGAAAAACTACAAGAATCGAATGACTAAAGCAGTAAAATAAAAGCACACAAGATCTCTATAATGTGTCTATAGCCTTCCTCTCCATATAACCATATTGTTATTGTCTTTTCACAGCTCCTAAATGCACAACTCTCCATCTCTTCTGGCCTTTTTAACAAGCTTCGCGTTGTGTGTCCGCTCGCCATCGTCACTGCATTTTGGAGGAGGGCATCGGGATAACAACTGGCCATTGACTGGGCAGACAGCTGTGTGTGTGTGTGTGAAGGAAGCCAATTATGGAGATTTAGAGCACGCACCTTACACACTGCAGCAGACAGGCTTTTGGGACAGACGGGTCAAATATGTGCATGTTTTTATTTTTCTTAATAAACACCTAATAAAAAGTATTTGTTTAATGTTATAATGAGGAACCATCCAACAGAAAGGTTACAAAGTGCACCTTTAATTAATATAGTTAAATTGGGCTATTCTAAACTTTTAAGACACATTATTCGTTATTTAAAATCATATTAAGCTTTTTTCTGATCTATATTATTTTGTTTCCTCATCAAAACCATACCTGGATTTGCGTTTTGTTTCATTCACACACACATTTAATACACAAATGAATTCTTCTCTGAAACTCTCTGTCTCTGTCCCACCTTGTGATGTCATGTGGTAATACAGGAAGTGCTCCACTGTGTTTTTAAAACTCCACACACCTTCACTAGAATCATTTGGATACTTCAGCCCTGGAATTGCCCATCACAAGGTGGAACAGAGCATTTGGAGATGTGAACAGACTAATAATAAAGGGTTACTCTGAATGAAACAATGAGATGAATGAAATGAAACAAAACACAACTCTGCCTATGTTTTTTTTTTTTTTTTTTCTAATGAGGTGTTAGTGCACAGCCCGCAGAAGACTTATGGATTTCAAGTGTAGCCAGTGATAATTTCAGAAGTTGTGGTATTATATGACCCATGGTGTCTGTGAATCACTCATTTTACCAGATCTTTGCCTTTATTTTTTGCCCTTATAACATGAAACTTGGCACTGCACACACCTGTACCATTAGAGTTATGCGTGGAAGAGACAAACAAACAAACAAACAAACCAACAGGAGGACACACAGACAGACGTTCCTTGCACTAATAGACAGATTAGAGTTGTAACATTGCTTAAAGCTCCAATTTTGCATAATATAGGGCTTTTAAAATCAAGTAACTATAATTACTACTCTAGCACCATTTTTATGTTAATTACAAATACACAAAAACATCAACAGAGACTACTTAAATCCCCAAGAGCCAAACCAGATGTGCCGCTTGTCAGTGTAAAAACATGTCTGACCCTGGCACAGACAGTTTTATGAGACTCTCTGCTTTTGTTGGTTTTAATGAAAGCACAACATCGTGTTTTTCTCAGACGTCTGAAGTATCTGAAGTACACATAATCTATTGTATTTGCTGAACAGATGGTGAAGAGGTGATGGCACGACCGCATGAAGCAGTGAGGAGATGTCACTGACTGTCTCTTAGATTCTCGGGCTTTGAAGTGAAAAATAATGAATACAGTATGAGAGGGTCACTGTAATTGCGTGTTTCACTGTGAAGATGGTTCAGACAAGACGAGTGACTGTGAAGCAATAATATACAGCGGACTTGTCACCGAGTGTATTGTGACGGCGCTGGCTTCCTGCTTGTTTCCATGGAAATGTTTTAGTTGACCCAGAATGTTTCACAGAATGGCATTAAATTAAAATATCCAGCAATTTATGTTTCTTAAGGTGTTTTTGAGCAATAAAACCTCTGACATTGACAGTATATTTCGCAAAATTGACTCTTTAAGCCATGTTAGAACTCACACATGTTTGAGTAATCCTTTATTATTAGTCTCGCAACATCTCCAAATCTCAAAATGCTCTGTTCCACATTGTGATGTCACAAAGAAGTAGTTTTCAAGTTAACAGCTACGTTTGTTTTACCTTTCGTTCAGCAGAGATTGACATTTCCAGGGCTGAAATCATCCAAATGATTCTAATGAAGACGTGTGGAGTTTAAAAACACATTGGAGCACTTCCTGTATTACCGCATTACATCACAAGGTGGAACTGAGTGTTTTCTGTTTGAGAGAAGAACTCTTATGCTTAAATATGCAGGATTTGTGTGTTGAACATGTGGGAATGAAACAAAACACAACTCCAGTTTCTGTTTGTGAAGAGGAAACAACATTATAACATAAATCAAAAATGCAACCTTAAATAATAGAAGTTGGGAACATTATTAAAACAGCTGGTAGGGAACCCTGCACCAGATAAGTTATATAGTGCTCCTTTAATCTGCCCACAAGCGCATCACCTCTGTCCTCCAGAACCTCCACTGGCTTTCCATCCTTCAGCGCATCCACTTCAAAGTCCTCCTCATCGCCTTCAAAGACCTCCACAACCAGGCCCCCTCCTCCCTCTCAGACCCACTGCAGCCCCACACTCCACCCCGCTCCCTGCGCTTCTCCGACACCAGCTATGTCCCTCCCCTGCAGGACCAACCCTGGAGACAGAGCCGACTCCATCCCCACCCTCTGGAGCTCACTGCCTCAACAAATCTGTGACTGTACTGAACCCTCCACCTTCAAGAAACCCAACTATTTAGAACTGTTTTTAATGTTTACCTGCTTTTAAAGGGTTGTGTTTTGGTTCATTCACACATGTTTAACACACAAACCCTGCAGGCTTTTTTTTTTGGCTGAGTTCTCCTCTAAAATGGATAACACTCTGTTCTGCTCCACTGTGTTTTTAAACTTCACACCTTCACTAGAATCATTTGGACAATTTCAGTGCTAAAATTGCCAATCTCTACTGAAAAAAAGGTATATAGTAGCTGTCAACTTGAAAACTACAGCTTTCTGATATCAAAAATACATACAAGAGTATTTTGAGCTTTATGTAGACACATCTGCATAATACAGGATTACTCAAACATCTGTGAATGAAACAAAACACAACTCTGGGTATGTTTTTAAAGAGGTAACAACATTTTAATGTGGCTCATAGCTCCAAAGAGTAAATTTTGCATAATATAGTACCTTTAATAATTATGCTTATATTTTGTCTTCTTTCCTTTTAAATTAGGGTGACCAGATTTTCAAAATAAAACTGACACACTCCCAGTTTGGAGTGATTTGTAATAATAAAATTGTGAAAGGAGTGCGTAATTAAGGAAAATTGCTATGCACTCGGCCCATGTGAGTCAGCATAGTCACATTTTCTTTGTGTTTTGGTAATTTTTAAACAGCTTTTCTATTTTTCATCTAAACAAATGACAATTTATGCCTTTCTTTACTGTTGACGGTATCAAATTTGTCAAAAATAAAGGCAAGGCAAGTTTATTTGTATAGCACAATTCATACACAAAGTAATTCAAAGTGCTCTACAGAATAAGAAATACATTAAAATCATAATAAAAACAAATCAAAACATAAATAATCATGAAGATTAAAATTTAAAAAGAGAGACATAAATTGGAGAGAAGAGTGCGGAATGAAAACCTTTCAGTTATATGCATAGTTAAACAGAAATGTTTTGAGCCTGGATTTAAACAGCGTCACAGAAGAGTCTGTCTCACATGTTCAGGAAGACTGTTCCAGGTTTTAGCTGCATGAACCTGAAACGCTGACTCCCCTTGTCTTTATTTCTTGTATAAAACTGGAACAAATCACTGGCTTTGGATAAATCTGCTGGACAGGGGACACAGGGCTCTAAACTGGGACTGTCCTCGGTAAATAGGGACGTCTGGTAACCCTATTTTAAATGTACTCTTTTTGATTTTATTCTTTGAGCAGCGTCTATGAGTGTTTAGAAAAAAATATATGTAAATAAAATGTCTGCTGCCGCTTAGCGAACAGTAGGTGGCGGTAAAAAACAAGTTCACGTCTGCTCTATTTTCGTGACAAGAAGAAGTCGACGCACGCGTGACGTCATATACCCTGCGCGACGTAAAGACGAATGAAGCGACATCGTTCATTTCTTTCTTTTCTGTCAAAACAGTCCGTAAAATGTTGAAAAAGAAAACGAGTAGCGCCGAAAAGAAAAGGAAACACGCTCCAGCTGAGGACAGATTTGACAGCAGGAAGCGACGAAGCACCGATTCCACTGCGGAGGTAAAATTTGAACAAACTAGACACAAATGTGCGATTGTTTACATCAGGTTCACAGCCTCGTCTTTAAAATAATGACAATTTAACACCTGCACATTTACACATTGGTAAAAAGAGACATGTGTAGGCTAGTTTTCATATTTTAGAGACTGTCATTTGAGTTTGTCAAAGCGACCAAGCTGAAATAAATTAAAGAACTGAATTAAAGACATTTAGAACTGCAAGACATCTATGTTGAATCCTTTTTGTTTGTAACGTCAAGACTAAAGTGACCAGACAGTCCCTATTTCCCCGGGACAGTCCCAATGTTGAGCCCTGTGTCCCCTGTCCCATCAAATTTATTGAACACCACTGATTTGTCCCAGAAATGTCCCAGGTGTCCCTATTTTTGACCAATTTGATCCCTGCCAACACTAAATAGAGGCATAAATTGTCATTTCTTTTGGTAAAATACAGAAAAGCTGCTTAAAAATGAAAAGAAAATGTGACTATACTGACTCACATATTAGTCGTGAATGGACCCAGTGCAGAACAATTTTCCATAATTACACACTCGATTCACAATTTTATTATTACCAACCACCACAAACCAGGGGTGACCCAGTTTTTTTATTTTAAAATTCTGGTCACCCTAGTCAGGACTTACTAAATCCAATCTTTTCTCAACTCAGTTATTAGTACGAGTAGTGGTGGTGCCTTAGTTTGACCATGCCTTTTTTATTATAATTTTACAAAGCTATTATACACACAAGTAACATTACTGTGTTACTTCAGTTTCTATAGATTTAGTTCAGACTATGGTATCACAAATAACAAACTTTTAATACTAATAATTTTCTGTCTTATAATTTGTGAAGTGTAAATGTTGCCAGTATGTTTTATGTTATTTTTACATTATGGGTGAGAATGTATGTGAAGTTTATGTGATAAACCATGGAAGACCACCTTAATCTCCTTTTATAAATGTTCACTTAACATTAAATTTCAAACTAAATTCAAATGGAAACTAAAACACTTTACACTTACATTTCATTTTTGTAGCTTTCAACCCATAAAAGCAACATAAGAACACCACTTGATGTCATTTTGAGTCACTTTAAGATTCTATGATTATTTTCTACAATTTGACATGTTTTGCTTGAGCTCAGACATTTGACTATGAGATGTTTTGTTGTGGTTTCAGCTGGAGTCCAAAGATGACCTGGCCGATGCAGAGCTCGATCGAATTGGCAGTGACATAGAAGAAGGAGGACTGGACCTCACCGTACAGTTCCAGCCAATCACAGCGTTTGTCTCACAGAAAGAAGAAATGCTGCAGCAGTGTTTCCGTGTCCTTGGAGAGAAGAAGCTACGCAAGATGCTGCCAGATGAATTTAAGGTAAACAAAAGCAGTGAATGAACTATGTTGAGTTTTAATTGTCTTCTTGCCAATGAAAAAAGACTTGGAATAAAGTACATCAAGTCTTACAATCAGTAAGAATGTTGAACAACCATCACACTTAAACAGACATGGATGGATGGTTTTAATTAATTAGTTAATTTGGGACATTTTTTGCACCAGCATTGATTGAACTGTATCAGCTACAGCATCTTTTCAGGTTTGTTGTCTTTTGTTTATTAGGTCCTGTTTTAATTGTCACATTAATTATTAGAAAATGTTTAATGTGCAAAATGAAAGCCTACCCTTAGTCACTCAAAGACATGACATAAAATATACTGTTTACTTTATTTAAAAAGTTTATTACTGGTATTGTTTGACTTATAAAAATGCTTTTAACTTTAAAATATTCACAGGATTGTAGTTTAGATGAAATTAAAAAGTTGTGTTTGGAACAACTGGAACCAATCTCTGAGAAAAATCTCCTCCAGATTCTAACAGGTAACCAACTATTCTTATAATGGCATTGTACAATTATAAAAGTTCACTTGACAAACTTCACTTTTGACTGTTTTTATTTTTTCCAAGGTGAAGAGTTAACGTCCTCCAATGAAACCTTAGAGGAGTCAGTGGAGAGCCAGTAAGTGGACAACACTATGATGAATTTGTGATTTGATTTAATTTTATTAGAAATTAAATTGTCTTTTTTAAAAATTAAGGCAAGACAACAACGTGGATTCAACATCTTGCCTCAAGGACTCAACCAAAAATGAGGAAATTAAAGGTAATAAAAAGTAGTATACCTTATTAAAAGCACATGTGATAATTTGCAAGCAGAGTAAATGATTTGATTACAATGTTAAAAAAGCTTTCTCAAAATTTCACAAACTTGGAATTTGCTTTGGTGCCAACATGTAATAAAATGTACAACATTTTTTATAATAAACATCCATATCAAAATTATAAAATTGACTAAATTTGCATAATATAGGCAGAATAACAAAATTACAAGTGCAAAAATATTGTTAAAGTTATTTATAGTGACAAGTAAACTTTTATTTCAGAAGTTGGAGGTTCAAGTGAAGAGAGCGACGTCTTGAGCATAAACGCAGACGCAGACGACAGTGACATCGAGGCGCCTAAAGAGGAACAAACTGAAAAAACTACAGATGATTTACACAAAAACAAGAGTGAAGACCCCGCAGTTAAACCTGAACCAGTCTCAGAGCTGCCTCTCGTGGCCCAACCAAACAAACCCAAGAAAGACATTCAAAGTGACATTGACAAGAGTGTAAGTGAGATACTGTCGTTCTCAGCTGCAGCACCTGTAGAACCAAGCGTGAATCAACTCCAAGCTACAGGGGCAGTCCCGAGTATGCCCCCTTCTGTGTCTGGAGTGGTATGTCAACCTTCAGTCCAACAACTGGAACTGTTAGAGCTGGAGATGAGAGCCCGAGCTATAAAAGCACTAATGAAAGCGAGCAAAAAGACTACAAACTAATTTAAGTTTTTCAGTATCAGATTGTTAAATTCCTGTTAAAATGTTCTTGAAGAATGTCTTCTACTATTTCATTAATGCCTCATGTATTGTAAATGGTAAGATTTATGTAGAATATCTTTTTTTTTTTTTTTTTTTTCTTGAAGAAATATTAAGACTTTTTGCGTGGTACTGGGTAATATGTTGACATCTATTACTCTTTCAATCTGTGAGAGTTACAGTTGATAAAAACTAAACATCATACGGTGTTTCTGTAGTTATATCTATAAGTGTAGATTTCCAGAGTCTTTCCCTCCATATTCCACTGCATTCAACTACAAATTTTTGACAATTTAACGTGGTCATCCTAAGTGCAAATAGTGCTGCAGCAATTTCAGAATGCATTCTTCATTTCGGGCACTAGATGGCAGTGTTACTCCACAGTTAGTAGTGAGAATTTGGTGCAGAAAAAAGTGATTATCTTCTTTCATAACAGTTTGGTCATGATGTGATTTGGAAATGTAATTACTGACAGGCAAGATATTGGGAGCAGAGGATAACAAAAATATACTGATGATTCAAATGTAACCAGAATCCACAATGCCCTATTGCACTGAAAAAAAAAAGTTACTTTGATAACACCGAACGTGAAACGCTTCTGTAAATTTGAATTTCAAATGACGTGCATGGCTGAAAAGTGGATGGCAGTGTTTAAATATGCATTTCAATTTAACACAATATTATCTGACTGCATAACATGTTTTGATAAGAAGATAAGAAACAATATTTGCTATAATGCATTTCCAAAACACAAGCAACAAGCAATCTATATAATTATATAACTTGTTGACCTTGAAGAACCTCAAATAACTATTGCATTCTTATATATTTAGTAAATAACTTGAATCTAAAGTGGATTGTGTTGGTGCCAGCAATTGTGCTATTATTCATGTTTCTAACTCCCACCTGTTTACGCTCTCAGCTTTCACTTTTGAAGACTTTTTTTTTTTTTTTTAACATTATTTATTTCTATGGCAACGGCTCTCATTCTGTAACCCATGGATACCCCAATCTCCAGTATCATCTCTGACGCCATTATAAAACTGCATTTCCTGGTTGACATTGTTCTGGAGCAGATGATACTCCAAACTCACGCCTCGCCCCAGCTGTTTAATTCAACTTTTGGGCACCTGACACTTTTCACCAAATTACTACCATCTTCTCTGCTTGACATTGTCTTCTCCCATTTATTCTGAGCCTGTATGATCCGCGGGGCTTACATCGCGTGTTATTATATGCAGATGCGGCGCTCTACTCACAAGCCCAAGGGAAACAATAAAAGCTACGATAAGGCGGCTTTCTCTTCTGGGTATTTTGCATCTAAAAGCTCGGTTTCATAAGAGGCTTGGGTTAACTGTGTCACTTATTCTCTGCTTTATCTGCAGGTATCATTGATAATTTTGAGCGGAGAGGGTCCACTTTAGGCAAAACGATACAAAGATGGTGAAGAGTGGGGTATTATCTGTCATTTAGGGCTTTCAGAAAGGCAATTATGACGCGCCGTGAGCAGATAAACGGCCTTTTTTCCACTAAAAAGACACGGAGGTGAGATGACACTTGTGTTGGTTAAATGTGATCTGAATGACAAGAAGTGCATGTAAAAATATTAGGAATGGAGCTGTTATAAACGACTCAAGTACTAGTATTACTACCTTGAAATACCTCTATTATGTATACTACTACAACCACTATAAACTACCAACTTAGGGCAACAAATGCATACAATCAAATTCTATTATGACTCAAATTGAAAGTATTAAGTCTCCCACGGCATTACTGATAGTGCAATATTGCTATTATAGTTTGTACTACAATTATAAAGATTACTGATATACTACTACTTTCATTTCTACTCTTTCAGTCACTACTACTACTTCAACTTAATGTTTTGTTTGGTTTTTGTTTACATGCTTATATAGAATAACTATAAACTTACTTTTAAAGGTCCCATGGTGCACAAAATTAACTCTTGTGAGCTTTAACCTCCTCAAAAACATAACTGAATTTGTGTAACATGTTTGAGTAACACTTCGTTATTAGTCTTTCTACATCTCCAAAGCTCAAAATGCTCTCTTCCACTTTGTGATGTCATGTAGTGGTATTTTTCAAGTTAACAGCTACCTTTTACTTTTAGTTCAGTAGAAACAGGAAATTGCGGTAACTTTATTTTAGGGTACACTTATTAACGTCTAACTACCTGCTTGTTAACATAGTTGTAGATGGTTAATTTGTCAATAATTAGTATTTATTCAGTCCTTATTAATGTATACTTCCTCATAAGCTGCAATTAGTTAGACATTTACAAACACTTTCCTATTAATACACTCCTTATTGCTGCTTATTCGTATGATACTAGGCCATTTTTGTCAATAAATTATGATTTGAATAAGCATTTCGTAATAAGCGTGTTGTTAAGGACAAGTAGCACAAGACATGTAGTTTTTACTTATTTGCACTTAAAGGAACAGGTTGGAAATTTGGACATAGGACCTCATTTCCTAGTGAGCCAGAGTGTTGGAGACGTGTGGAGACACTTTTTAAATATTCCATCCAGTCCTTGTATTTGCAGAGGTCGCTGGTGCTAGGCTAATGCATGTCAATGGCCATAGTTATCCTGCCACTAAAAACAGTCTTACCCACTCTGTAAAACACCTGAAGCAAAACAATTATAACGCCAGGCCAGACTGCCAATGTAAATGTCTGTGTTGATAGAAAAATTTTAGAAGTAAACCAAACTTGTATTTGAAGGATTTATGTCTGAGCAGCAGCAGCAGTGAGTTGTACTTCCTGATAGAAAGCCTGGCAACGGTGGACTGATATATGAGAATATAGTCCTTCAACATGTGATGATTCATGCAATGTAAGGTTAGTTTTATTTCAAATATTATTCTATCAACCCAGACATTAGCATCGGCAGTCTGGCATAACAATAGATTTGCTTCGGGTGTTTTGTGGAGTGGGTAAGACTGTTTTTATTGGCAGGATAACTATGGCCATTGACATGCACTAGCCTAACACCAGTGACCTCTGCAAATACAAGGACTGGATGGAATATTTTGAAAAGTGTCTCCACACGTCTCCAACACTTTGGCTCACTAGGAAATGAAGCCCTATGTCCAGAATTCTGAACTGTCCCTTTAATAAATTTTGCCTACTCTTGTGTAATAAAACATTCTCTATTAGGTGTTAGTAGAGTCCAAACATCCATGTATTAAGTCATTAAGCTGTTAATACGTTCCTCATTCTAAGGTGATGTTTTGATCGTTAATAAATGACTAGTTTGACACAAATTTAAATAAAATATGGTCCCTATTCTAAAGCAGTCTCTTCTTCACACTTAATTCATGTATTGTGACATGCATATTAATAGTTCAAATATGATTAGGTAGTTGTACAAAACAATTCATGGACAAAAATGGCCTAGTATCATACTAATAAACAGCAATAAGGAGTGTATTAATATGAAAGTGTTTATAAATGTCTAACTAATAGCAGAATAAGCTTATGAGGAAGTAGACATTAATAACGGCTGAATAAATACTAATTAATGACAAATTAAACATCTACAACTATCCTAAGTAGAAGGTAGTTAGATGTTAATAAGTGTTACCCAAATTCCAAAGCTGAAATGATCCAAATGATCCAAACAAAACACAACTCCAAGTATATTTGTAATGAGGAAGCATTATAAGATAGATAAGAAAATAGTGTAATAAGAGCTCTTTAAAGGCCATCTTTTGAATATAGACCCATCAATTGTTAGGGTACAAGTATCTGGCATCTCTCCCCTGCTGTTTGAAATCAAAGGCTCAGTGTTCCATGTAAATGAGTGGCCTCGCGTCACCCTTCCGAACATTATGTAAAATACTCTGTCCTCGAAAAATACTTTTATCCTCGTTCTCTTCAATGCCATTTCAAATACTGCCACAATCCTGTCGCTAATGCAAGTGCACTTAGCGCGGCTCCAAACACAACTTCTTGCTACATTTTAACAGTCTGCCATCAGAGCGGTAAACACTGCGGCTGATACGGTGGCCCCTAAGGACAAACTGTTGAAAAGGCAAAGTTGGGTAAGAGGAGAAGAATGGTATTTGGGGGATTTACGGCAGTTTCTAAACAAACGCAGGTACAAATACTACTAGAGGGTGTATGGGGTGAATGCGCAATGTTGTAGCAAAAGTTTCAAATGACTTTAGAGACATTTTTGACCTAAAATCTGTATACTTTTTTTTTTTTTTTTCAAAATAAAACAAAACTGCAGTGGAGATTTAAACTCCCAGAACAGACGGACAAAGCCAAAACTGCTCTGTCCCAAATGCTCAATTTTACAGTAGCTAAGCAATCACGAGGTACCCCTAAGGATGATCTAATGGTGTTTTTGGCAAGATGTGGATTCTCGTGAGATGGTAGCAAGGTTATATGGACTGGTGTGGTGAGTTTGGGACAATACAAATATTCTTTGAGGTCATAACGTTATAACTTTGTGAAAGCTGAATGTACTTCTGTATACTTCTGTGTAACTTTTCTGGTTGCTTGATACCTGAGATGTTTCACAGTATAACTTTATCCCTGATGGCCTTGATTCAATTACATGTTTTATTGCTCAAAAATACCTCGCGCAATGTGAATTCTTGCTGAACGGGGTCACCTCTCCACAGATATGAACTATAACTTGACGTGTAGGGGTTCATCTGCCTGTCTCCATGAAGTTTAAAGATCCTATATTACACGTTGATTCTTGTGAGGTTTACACTATGTTAAAATGTTGTTGCCTCAGCAAAAACATACCCGGAGTTGTATTTTGTTTCATTCTTACATGTCTGAGTAGAGGCAATGCTACCATTGGGCCGCCCAGGGCCCCCGAACCTGGAGGGGCCCCCAACCAATTGCCCTCAGTGCACTAATGGCCGAGGCCTTAGAACAATTTGATTTTCTGTCAATATGACATTATATCAGAGTAGTTTACTTTTAAACAAGAAAACACCATCAAAATAGTGTATGGTTGTCAAATCTATTTTTACTGTCAAAGCATTCCCCCCTTTCACATTAGAATAGATGAGTCAGCTTGACCTTGATTTGAACATAATCATCACATAATCATAATCATATGTAATGGATGAAGGCAAATGTAATTGTACCAGCAAAAAAATAAAATGACTGTCAGCTCTGGTTATCTAGTAGGCTACCAAATGACAAGGTTCCAGTCCACCCACATAAAGATGTGCATGCCCCATGAACAATGGAGAGAAACAGACAATACATAGTAACCCCCCCCTCCCGCCACTGTGTCGGAGTAATCCTTTATTATTGGTCTGTCTACTTCCCCAAAGCTCAAAATGCTCTGTTCCACCTTTTAATGTCACAAAGTGGTAGTTTTCAAGTTAACAGCTACTTTTTACCTTTAGTTTAGTAGAAATTGGCAAAGCTACACCTGAAATTATCAAAATTATTCTAGTGAAGGTGTGTGGTTTAAAAGTACAATGGAGCACTTCCTATTCCTTCCTATTACTACATGACCTCACAAAATGGAATAGAGTGATTTCCATTTGAGAGAACTCAGCCTAAATATGCAGGAACAAAACAAAACAAAACACAACTGCAGATATGTTTGTAATGAGGAAACAACATTGCTAGTCTGATTCATCAGTCGCTCCACAGTAGGTGGGTACTTTTTTTATTTTACCAATCGCTGCTGTTTGGTCGTGATGTATATAATGCGCCGCTAACAGGGATAACTAGTATATTAAGCTTTTCCCAAATCCCATAACGTCTTTCCCTTGATAAGATTCACTAAATATTCTCTTTGTTCCAGCTTTAAATCCTCAATCTCGGGAATCAACACAGAATATATGGCTCTTCACTAATTGGCTGGTGTCCGAACTCGCACTTCCGGAGTTCTTTCTAACTGTCTAGTGTATTCTGATTCCTGACCTAGTCGCTGGAGAGAAATTAAATTGAGCGGAGGCACTAGGTGGTGCCAGCCTGGCTGCAACATTGTAACATGGATCAGAACGAAGCATAATATGGGTCCTTTAACGACGTAACGTGGAAAATTAC